ACCAAGCCATCACTTCAAAAAGCCCATTTCCAAAGAATTTGCATAACTTACTACTTTATCCTAAATTACAAATAGGAAATGTAATTATCTTTTCTTTTCCTTGCAATTTGTCATTTACTTTATACTAAAAGCTACTATATTTTTGAGAGGAAATATATCAACTGCCTTCTGATTAGCACGGTCGTTTCTAGCCGATTCCCACAAACAGTAAAATGAAGATAGACGTTGTCTAGCTACCTGCACTGAACGCTGCTCCACATGGTGGACTGACCCAAGGCAATTAACAAGCTGCTGAGTATAAATGCTTAAATGTGTGCATGCACAAACCTATACTAGCAGAATTTTATACTAAAGTATTGGTAACTACCTGCTTTTAAGAAAAATAAGAAGGATTTCCTTTTTGCCTTCTTTCTCCTCTAAATATTGTTTAATTCTAAGGGAACTCGGAAATTAAAACCAGAGCAACTTCGAAAAAGCATGCAAGAACTTCCATGGCAAGATGCAGAAACTGGAAATTGTTTGGTGTTTTGTTCTGCCTGTTTTAAGAGGAACTACATTCTTAAAACACTGCTTCTCCTTCCTGTACAACTGAAATATCTTTAAACAATTCAGGGGTTGGTTGGTTTGGTTTTGGGGCTGGGGGTGTTTGGGGTTTTTTCATTTTGTTTTTTTAAAGGCTGAAAATAGCCAACTGAACATAGTATTACCCAAGTCATACAATGCAGAAGGTAAAACCTGAAGTATGTTAGGAGTTGTAGCACATTTTACCTTACGTCCCACATACACAGGAATTCCAATAATCATAGCAGGAATAGCAATGCCAGCTATTAAGGCAATTCCTACAGGAGCTCCAACAAGTGTCCCTAGTTGCCACAGTATTTTCTTCTTACGGCTCCATGGTTTCTTTCCCCAAAATGTGCAACCTGATGGGCTAATAGAAAGAAGAAAATTGTGAAGAAATTGCAAATAAATCAACATAACTGTACACTACTGAACTGTTCTCTACTTAGAAAATTATTGTTCTTAGGTTCAAGTTACACATATTATGGATACCAAATCATCAGTTATTATTTCTTCAGGTTTGATTTTTTTTTTCCTTTACAGCATATTTTGAAGTGTAAAGAGAAGCGTATTGCATATTAGCACATGCCAACCTGTGGTTCACAGGTAATTCATATAATCAGTTTTTGTATTGCTTACTACAAAGACAATACAGCAGCATTAAGATAGCAATAAAAATAGTGGGTATGTTCATCTAAAACACTTCATTTGTTGTATTAAGTACATGTTGCATACATGAAATTTAGAAAAATATTTTAAAATAAAAAACAACAAAGCACTAATTTAAATGTGTGCATTGAAAACTTATTTTTCAGATATGGATACTTCAACTGTGATTCTCCAACAGGAAGAAAGCCAGACTTACAGCACCCAGGAATCTACTTCTATATACTTCAGAATACAAATTACCAACCACATAGACTTTTTTCCTTAAATGTACCTTAAATAATGTAAATCTGAGATCTCTTTCATACACAGCCAACAGAATTCACAGCCACAGACAGCACAAGTCATATGATTGCAGCTTCCATCATTCATTTTTATTATATAAGCAGCACAGCGTGGGCATGGCTTTATGTCATCAGCTGTTTAAAAATGAATATTAAGATCATATCAGTTCTTTAGACAAGCACATTTAATCAAAATATAGACATATGTTCGGGAAAACTGATTGAACCATTATCTGAAAAATGGAAGAAGTTTATTACAAGTTTCCTTTACAAATCTTGATTTGGCAATGACTTGATAGCTATTTGTATTTGTAAACCTTGGACCAAGTAAAACTAATGAAAACAAGGCATATTAGATCACATTCAAGTAATTGAATAGTTAATACACACACTCTGTTCAAGGATTTTCTAAGCTTAATGCAATATATATTAGAGTTGGACATTAAATATGTATGTTAATACAGGACTGATAACATGGTCTCTTTAAATATAATCCTCTCTTACATTTCATGCTGTTACGAATCTTTTACTTGAATATTCAGTCTCCACTGTTATTTCTTCTTATCTTAAATCCATCTCCCCTTCCACATTAAGTGCATTTCTTCAGTATCACCAACCTCCTCTTGAGTGCTTTTCACAGCCCTACCTAATACTTACTCCCTAGAAAAAAAATATTGTAGCAAACAGAAAATTCTGGAGGCTCTCCTTGTTCCCAAGTCAATATTGAAAAATGCAGTTAAGTGACTAGCTCTATCATTAACAAACAAGGGGTCATTGAGCAACAGTGAAATACTTGTATACTGACACAACCTCAGTTGTGATCTTCGCTCCTTCACGTTACTGGTTAGCATCTGCACTTTGGCACAAGCTATTTACTCACAGCAGCAGAAATAACTTGCAGCTCCTAGTGCAGAAGTTCAAGTTTACTGCCTCTGTGCTACTAGGTAGGACAAAGGAAAAAGAGGGGTTATACTCTGTTATAAAGAACATCCAAAGAGGTGCAGAACCAGCAGGAACAGTAGTACCCCTACCAACTCCGGTGCACAAGGACAGTGAGCAGCTGAAAGGATATGCTAGCTATTCCCAGATGGGAACAGATGCACAACCTGCAGAGCAGTAACTAAACTGAGCAAGTTCTCGCGGCACAGGTACGGCAGACCTACTGCTGTTCATGCTGGGAGCAACTGAAAGGGTAAGGAAAGGAGCTGCCACGCTAATTTATTTAAAGGTTATTTTAAAATTTATTTGAAAACTAGAGCAAGGTGCCAATTTTTAAGACAAGAAGGAGTGCCTTGTTAAAATGAGCCAGCACAAATAACAAATGAGAGACTCCCAAGTCTAGGGCTGGATTGGAGAACGACAGCTCTAACTACATTCAAGGTGCAAGAGAGACTCTTCTCCCCAAATATCTACCTTGTTTGGTCAGGCAGACACAAAAGCTGCCAAACAGATCAGAGTTTGGTGAAACTCAGAGCCAATTCTTATCAGTAATAAACTGGACTCTTGCTCTGCAAAATACTACTCTGAATAGTTCATCCTCTTTTTGGGGTGGATTACAAACAAGTTCAATTTTAAGAAGATGGAATTGTTAGCTTTCTGGTGGCCGAAACTGATGAGCATTTTATTGAAAAACAGAAATTAGTACTAACAAACAGATGTCAAACATCACACTAGCATCAGATTAACAGTCTCTTCTGTAAGCAGAAAATCAGTGGTTTTGACTTGTATTTTCAACAGCTTTTATTATTAGCAGCCCTATGAAATTTCACCTACAGCAGAGAAAATAAGTGTTCCCAGTGTGTAAGTGATACAACTAATGAAGTCAGCCTACCAAACACAGAATGCTTTCCAGCAAGTTCCTTTGTCTCCACACTTTTCAGCTACAAAAGGGGAATTTAAAATGCTGACAAGCCTGTAAGATTGAAATCAGGTACGGTGGTCACAAAGTACTACAAATTATAACATTTAAAATTTGAATTCAAACTTAAAATTGCATAGTTTATGTTTCTGAAAGACAAAGCAGCTAGTATCTACCATGCTACTATTCAGTTCTTTCCTTTTTAGAGTTAATTGTGCAAATGTACTAAAAAGATACTTTACAGACACAGTATCCTAATCATAAATACCTGCTGCTCCAGATTCCTGGCTGTAACTAATGGATGAAGAACGAATTGTTCTCAGGCGCAGACTTTGAGCTCTCTCCTGGCGAGCAGCATCGCAGGTCTGGTTTGGATGCCAAATCTGCTTACAGTGGTAGCAAAACTCAGTTCCGCAGCCTTCTCGTCCACACGTAAGTTTGGGACAGCTGGCACATCCAAAAGCAATCACAGCATATCTTGAATGATCAAGAGGGGCAAGAGAGAATTTTGTTAATAAAAACAGTCCTATCTATAGACCGAAGCAGACAAGCCAGCTGCCAGAGCAGCTGAAGCAGGTACAAAGGCAGTGGACATCAGGAGCTGACATTAGGTGGCCAGCACAGGTTCCTTACTACCTCCTTCCACAACTCTATTGCTACTGCATTAGACCAAGACCGTGCAGAAATACCACAGTGTAACACTTCGCTCTACCCCAGCAAAGTAGGTTCATACAGTACTGAAATATACTGATATTTAAGGCTGGATGCAGTACTGCAAGGTTTACAGTCACAAAGCAACAAGAGTTTAGAAGAGCGGGACAATAAAACCAAAAAACATATTTAAGCAACTAGAAAAAAGTTACAGTTTCAGAAGTGTCCGAGTCACTACGGGCATGTCTAAGCTTGAACCTTTCTGTAATCTGCTGAGTAATCTGTACTGTAATCTATTACTGTAAAGGCATCTGACTTGGTACTGCATGACATTTTAGTATTTTACTGGTTGCCTTTTGTTATGAATACCACTATCTACTTTAAAGAGATGTTTGTTTACTCTTTATATTTTAAAATATCAAAACAACAAAGCAAGCATTTTATAAATAAGGATTTTGGTTTATCAATTAAGACAATTTCATTTTTTTGACAATTTTTTGAATACATTTCAAACTGTAAATGCAGAAATTGATGAGTTCAGGGCCTCACTGACACCTTTACTCTAACAATACTACAGAGCGAAAAGCTCCAAAACGTTGATACTTACAAAACTGTGTTACAATATTTTGTAATAGGACACTACATGAACAATTCTATACAATGAGAGTAGTTGCCACAAATCAATTCCTCTGTCAGGTTTGCATTTTAAAGTTCACATGACAAAAATACAGACAATGTGTATTATAGTTCATAATAATACTAAATATATATATAGACATGCAAACACATGTGCCTTAATTCCTACCCATTATAATTTTTTTCCATGATTTTATGCAATAGCTTTCTTTTAAATAGAAAACAATCACTACTAGGTCCACTGGTATCTACACTTAAAACAGATCTATAGTTTTATTCACGTGAACAGTCCCCCTGAATAGACGTCAACAGATTTATAAATGCAGCAAGGCTTAAATTTATGGCTGTTCAAATGAAGGTAATTTTCTTTTAAGAGACTAAGTTGTTTAGTTTTACCCCCTGCCCAATTTCTAGCAGATGCCTAAAATTAACTCAAAACATTCTTTATCAGTAATGGTAATAAAAAAAAATTATTCCCACTCGCATATCTGAAAATTTAGCTATTTTCATTTTACATCTGAAGCTCTGTAAAGTTAATGCAAGTCCTATCCCTTTCATTAAGTGCTTTAAAACAGCATGTTTGAAGTTTCCCCCCCCAAGAAGTTCTGCAAACAGTTTTCAACCTTTAATTTACAGATGATGCAGTTACAAATAAAAATGAGACATATGCTTGTCTGTTTTCAAATATTTCTTACTTTCCAAGTAAAAATTTGTTTCAATAATTGCTAGATTCTTTTGTATTATTGCCAAGTTAATCAGCTCTATTTTGCCACTTACAGCAACTGAGGAGATAATTGCTTTGTATGTACACAAGGAGATTCTGATCCAAATACATCTTCAACATACAGGGATACATCCAAGACTCACTAATGTTGTATCAAAGAATCTCAAGTGTAGGCCACAGAATGAAGTATCAATTTATATCCTGCCTCCCATCACTAATAAGGAATGGGCGCATCCCTGAAAGCACTCCCCATTTGGGACTGATGAATTGGCATACCTTTAGAAAGTAACTTTTTAGACCAGAGCAAATCTCAGTTCAAACTGTACAAGATTACAGATTTCATTTCAACATTTTGCATTCATTTTACAAGTGATGTGAAAGCCAAAAGTTGTTGTTAGGCTGAGAGAAGGGACAACCAACCAAATTCAAGCAATAATGGAATATAACAAAAACCAGAGGCAAAGAGCAATTAATTGAAGAAAGGATGTACTGTGAAGAGAGACAAGGAATGAAGAATTTGCACTCTTTTGCCCAGTCTGCTTTTTGCTTGACAAAGATAAGAAAACCTAGAAATTCCTCCTCTCTTCTAATGATGTCAGCAATACAATCTCACAGCAAAACCATTAAATAATTCAGACAGAAGAAAACACAGAACACATTTGGAATACTGACTCACTAAGGCTTGTTAAAATGACATTGGAAAACTGATATGAAGAAACAGAATCTCAAAAAATTAGTCTGGAACAAAGCCCAAGAGGTTTCCTTATCTGTGCTCCTTCCCCAGGGAAAGATCACCTATTTGCCAGTGTCCCCTACCAAGCCACTGCAGGTACACTGCAGCTGGTCCAGACTTTTACAGTATTTCGGGTACCAACAACAGTCAGGATGCATTTGAACTTGCAGCAAAAGCCGAGGATGAAGTAGCCTGAAGTCAGAAAGACCATGGTGCAGCGGTAGGAACCATTTCTGGCATGAGATTGTTTAAATGCTAGAGACCCCACAGCTCCCAGGCAGCTCATCCAGGGCATAACTACTGCAACAGAGGTTCTCTTCCAAACTAATCCCTAGTCCTCTTGTTGGGAAGATCGTAAGTTCTCCACAGGGACAGAAGTAGTAATACACTTAATACTGCATTTAACTTTGTTTCAAGATCCGTTTGGTTCCAGTTTTGCCATCTCTAGGACCTGGTTTTACCCCAAATAGAGTGAAAGACAACTGAAAAAAGATATTTACTACTTAAATTATTCTTTGTTGTTTCCTGAGAACACAGGGGACCATGATGTAGGAAAATTAATTATAACAGAGTAAGCTAGCTTCCCTCCTTTTCCTTCCTCATTTTTTCCCCCTCAGGGATCAAAGTTTTTGTAATTATTTGCTCTTTATCTGGTCCAGATCTTGGTCCAAGTGCGATGCCCAAACCCTGAAACAATATGACAGGGGACGTTTCATCAATGCGGAGGAGAGCTGAAGCAGTCATGCACCATCCACTCAGTTCCTTCTTTTACCTATTTGTGCAGTAATTTTTTCCTACCAAAATGCTCTACTTTGCACCTATTTCCTATTTATTATAGTACTTAATTTCTAATTTTAAAGACAACTTTAGGAAATAATGCTACCCTCTGTAGTTATTGCACCTCTCATACTTGGGGATTAATTGCAAATTTACTATCCGGCTCCTTCATGAAATATTTGATCTGTGCTAAAATCAGGTCAGCTGCCATCACAACCCTAATGCATCCTGCCAGTACTACATATCAAAAACTGTTCAGAAAAAAAAAAAGCCCTCAGTTTTAATTGCATATTGTACGAGTTGATTACAGTTGCCAAAGCAATTAGAAACCGCGACTACTGTTGTACCACATAATTGTTAAAGCAAATGTCTGCTGATGTGAAGTTTGTGTGTACTGTACATGATACCTCATCTTTACAACAGGTGTTAGCATAGGCTGTCCAGTGAAAGTCTGAATAGTGTTTGCTTCCCGAAACCTCACGCCTGCACAACTCCTTCTTCCATCCTCCTCCTATTCTCCACAACAACATTCAATCCCCGTTATTACTTTCGATACCACTCCCACTCCTTCCCACCTCCCTCTGGGTGCTGTCTCCCAGCTCCCCCGGCTAGAGACCAGCGCCGCAGCAGGCTCCCGGCTAGGCACAGACCAACGTGCCAGATGGTGCTGCGGTGGCTGGCTGGCAGGCCATCTTTAAAAAGGCAACTGTAGGATTTGTATGCAGGTAATCCTCTTGCTGGAGGCACCATTGATGATCTCTCTTTTGCTCAAGTATTACATTTTTTTTTCCTGAAATGTCTTAGATTAACTTATGCCAAATGCTCAACCCCCTCTGCCCAACATATTTGAAGGTGCTAAAGGTTTCGAAAGCAATCAGGAAAAGGATGGGAAAGATAAAATATGATTGAACAAGCTCTTGTTTCTTTAGGATGACAACCATAAAGAATGATCCTGATGAGAAGTATCCAAGTAACCAACTTATCCAATTTTAAACTAGCAATGAGAATTCAGTGAAGGGGTACTATCTGTGCATTAAAAACAGAATCCATCTATCACTGTGAAGCATTTCCCTACCACATGAAATATATTACGAAAAAGTCGTGTTATCAAAAGTACAGTTATGGTCACCCATATAGTACTAGCTTGTTCCCCTCACACATAAACATTGGTATAGTGTAACTGCTTGACAATATACGGTGCTTTCCACAGGATTCCACCCTCAGAGTAAGGAGCATGCAGTAGGCAGTTCTGGAGCAACGATTTAAATATTTGCTCTATAATAATACATTGCCGTGGTCCCACACAATTGCACCGAACTTTAGCTTTGCTCTGAAGACCCACTTTTTATTTTTATAATGGTATTATCTATAGCAATTATTATTACAGTTGGACTGTTTAAAGATACTCAGGATTTTTTTTTAGACAGATGAGAAAACTGAGGCACGAAAAATAAGCAAGGTGAAAAGTCTCCATTAAACAAATCTGCCTTAGTCTACTTACTGAAGTACTAAAGAAGTATCTGAATCACTGAAACATGGTTTAACAGAAAATGGTTTAACAGTTCTTACATGCTTCCGCTTACCTTGAGTAACAACAGTTTGTCCAGAATGCAAGAACTCAGGAAAACATGAGCAAAGCATATACTTCTGCCTGTCAAATAATGCCTTCTAGTGGTTGTTTTCTTTTGTAGTATCAAAATATTAAGAGTAAGCTCTACTGCTTTTGTCCACATGACTTTGTTAGATACTCATGCAACCAACCCATCTCTCAAGTAATTTTTCCTTCTCTGCTCAAACTATAGCACAGCAATGCCATCCACTTTGGACCAGAGGACCTAAGAAACTACCACCTTTCCAGTCCCTGTTTTTGACCTGCATTAGCAAATTCTGTTTCATTTAAAGTATGAAAGCAAAATTGTATTTCAAATATGTTTCTTAACATATCATTTAAATTTGAAAGCCTCCTAAACGTTAAGCACCCGAACATTAATATTGGAATATTTAGTCTACCTAGTAGTCAGTCCTATTTTGCTTGTTCTCTTCCAGCATTCCTCCTTTTCTTCTTTCTACTTATTGCTCATCTATGAGGCTTTGAAACAGAGATGTCATCTTCTATGAGTTTTTAGTGTGCACTGCACATCCGAATTGCAGGTTATAACCTTTAGACATTATGATAAAGTAAACAATCTCTAAAAAAGCAACTTGCTGAAGAATGGCATTATGAGACACCAACAGCAGAAAAGCGTGATGAGCTGCTCAGTAGTATTCAGCCTACTCACGTCAAAATTCAGAATGGTGTCAGAACTGTTTAAGTATTAAAGCAATGTTAAAATGTTACGTTCCTCAGATAATAAACAGGAACAAGCTGATAATTATCTTACATCAGAATCCTGTTGACAGGCAACAAGTGGTGTGTCAACCAGCCACAAGATGGAAGATAAACTGAAGCTGGAGAGGCCTTTTTATTGAAAGAAAACCCTCAATCATTTTTCACAGTTAAAAAGACCAAAATACCCACTGTACTTTAACAAATGGACTAAGTTAAAAGCACAGTCACCAAATTTTCAATTCTCTTTAGTCTGAGCTTTGCACTGTTGCCTTGGCAGTGCAACATCTGCCTGCTGTAGATACATAGCAACCACCTACCAATAAGCTTCATGACATTGCTGAAATTCCCTCTGTGCAGGAAAAAAAAAAATCCTACTTGAGGATGGGTTTTATTTTGGAAGGTGGGCTGTGGCTTGGATTTTTTGTTGTTGTTTTAGTTTTTGTTAGGTTTTGGTTTTTTTCCAAGATTATTCTGCCTGCTACCTACTTGTACAACACATAACAAAACGCTAAAGTAAAGCAATTAACTTTTCAAAAAGCATAATGCTACGAACATTATCTATTTATGCTGTCACTTTTTTGCAGATACTGAGAAAAAATACATACCCACAATCTGGAGCTGGGCACCACCTACAATCAGGATCCGCAACCAGCCATCGCCTAAGCATAAACTCTTCGTATTTTTCCATCAAGATGTCGTCATTTAATATCAAACGAATATCATGAGGATTAAATCGTTCTGAGCATTCTGGACAGCTAATATTAACTCTGCTCTCAGAGATTTCTATCCGGAGATACTGACGCAAGCAATCCACACAAGATCTATGGTGACAAGTCATTATCTCCGGGAACCTGTCCTTGGAGTGCCGCAAAAGGCACAAGGGGCATTCCATGAAGTCTCCACTTGGTTTGCTGCTAGAGGTTGTTCCGTTATCAGAAGAGGTACATGTGGAGAAAATAGAGTTTTTGTCTGTACACATTTCTGAATGAATACTTTCAATACTTGCAATTCCATCAACACCTCCATTTAAATCCCTAGACTTGCGCTTTGTGTCTTTTTTCCTCCGAAAAAGAGAGCCCAATGAAATTCTTCTTTTCTTTGGTGCCTTTTTAACTGACGGCAAGCTCACAGACGAAGCAGAAGACTGGAGGTCCCGATCAGAGCCCATTTGCCGATGTAAACTCATGTCTAGGTCACTCATCAGAAATGGGTTAAATTTCATATACAACCCTAATCATTTTTAAGAATCAAAATAATAGAGTCAGAGGATACAGGCATATTATTACGTAATCCAGTTTGAGAGTCTTCATGCAGAAAATTCACACGTATCCAATTCCAGCAAATTCTTCAGAGGAATTCCCTATGTTAGGAGGAAAGATGAAAAAGAAGATAGATTAGAATCACATCTGTCACTTTTGGTTCTGAAAGACCACAGCACTCTAATGACCTGTTATTCATATTACTACCATCTTCTTCCTCACCATCTGACCCGATACTTCTTTCTGTCAGCTTTTTCTATCCTTTATATCCTTCCCACCTTAACAAGCCTGAAATTTCCCCATGGTCAAAGAATACCTTTGTTACACTTAAGCAGTGCTCAGAAAGGCATCTTCACTTCCCTGCTCCCTAAGGGGGGTGGTGTTTGTGTGCATGCACACACATGTAGAAATCACCATAACCCAAGGTGACAACTAAGTAAATGTATAACAAGTTCTTCTACAAAGCACAGTAACAGGCTTACAGCATTGGAAACTTTTCTGTTTTCTCTACTTTACATTTTCCACACATGTGATAAGGTCATGTATAAACCCAATATAGTTAATTAAAAGAAACAAAAGATTTTTTGTGTATGTTTTGAATCCATTTAGACTGCCAGCAGAAATTAAGTCACTGTGGCTAAACATCTCAAGATACTCTAAAAACCTAGGGGTTCTCAGACAAGTATGCAGATGCATACTTATAATGTAAGGTACTTGAATATTTCAGGAAGCAGAGCTGCAGAGTGAGTGACAGCCAACGCCGTCTTGCCTTTCAACTTCCATATTGCAATTCAAGCAAAGACTAGAGTTAAGGTGACGACACTTCAATTTTCCATCGTACTGATTTTTATTTTTAAAAAAAGCCCAAAAACCCAAATTCCCATCACATACCAAGCTTCAATTATTCCCTGTGTACAAGATCACGGCAAAGATTTCCTTCTGTTTCCTGTTGCTTAACTGACTGGCTCCAAGATGAGAGAGAAAGAAAAGTATTTTCCTCTGACAGAGGAGACTACTACAAGAAGTGGCGTATCACCTCCAACCAAAAACACTAACTTCCCCCAAACATGCAAACATTCCCACTTCTTGGAAGCTTGATTGTACAAGAGGAATTTTTCTAGCTCTCAGTGAACTGCTTCTGTAATTGAAGAATGAGAAGGCATTTCTTACGTGACATCAGTGTTGTGTATCTGGATGCAACTGCTGCTGGCACCATTACTTTCCTCAGTGTTTCCCAACTTCCCTCCCAAAAGGGATGCACTGGCTTTCTATGATTTTACCATAGGATGATAAAATCAGAAACTGGATACTAAAAATAAGTCAAAAGGTAGAAACAAAGGAATGTAGAGGGCCACTGATGATGATACAAAAATATAATTTCTAATTTATACATCTTGGTACGGAGCAGATGAAGGGAGGCGAAAAACCCAACACTTAGGTGAATGCCCCTATTTACCAGACCCCAGGCAGTCTGCACACCAGCTGGAAACCAGCCAAAACACAACTGTGTGCTGTATGTCTCCAGGACAGGATCACCGAGATGACTGGGTCAAGACTAGGAAGTTTCAGAGGAAGACTGGGCAGCAGCGGAAACAGAAATCCCTCTCCAGAAAGGAAACACAGAAATAGCCCACAGGCTGTCCAGCTTGCCAGAGAAATGTGTGCAGCAAACCCACTGCCGGGCCCTCTTCAGACCACTGTAGCTTGGTATTATACATAGAATGTACTACCCGGTAGCCAAGTCAACACTACTCAGTTTATACTACCATCCAGTACAGTAGTACCCCACAAAAATACTACCTTCCTCAACTGTAAGTATTTTAAAAAGCTCAAAAAAGCCCCAAAAAACCCACACAACCAAAAAAACCCAAACCAACCACACAAACCCCAAACAAAAAACCCTACCCACACCACCACCACTACCACCCCCCCCTCCATTTCCTGGTTTTGCTAAAAAGAAGTCTTATGTTTTGGGCCACTAGACTTTTTGTTTGGTTTTTTTAAGAAAAAATTTAAAAGCCACTATCTTCTGTTTTTTCAAATGCTGAATTATTACTTTTTTCTTTTTTTTTTTTTCCTAATAAAGGAAAGTCTTGCCTCTGTGGAACACTATATAAAAAAAAAAAATCTTATTTTATTCCCAGGGACTAAAATAAAGCATATTTCAAGAACATAACATACTCTTCCTTCCCTCCTAAGGGAACATCTTCAGCCTAAAATCTAGTCAAAAGGAATCTTGGATGCTCTACCTGCTTCTGTTCCCAAAACAAATTTAATAGTTTTACAGCCGCTGTTTCTCATTAAGTGAACTGAAACATTCCTTTTTCTTTAGATAAAAGATGAAACTGAAAAAAACTGCTCAACAATGATGACAGAAGGGAACATCTTTCTCTCTAGGCTGTTGGCATGATGTTACATCATAGATACACACAGTTGGTACAGAGCATCTGAAATATACTACATATACACAAATCCTATAGCCTATGGCTGACAATAAATTAAGTTTGTATGTTGAGAAGTGCAAGAATAACCTTGAAAGCATTATTATAACTACTACATACTTACTAACATTTGCATGTTCACACAGAACATACAGGACAGTGCAAACTGCCATCTTCCCCAAGCCAGGAGAGTCCATGAACATGAACAGCAGTCAAAGCACTTGTTTCATGTAAGAAGGTGGGGTTTTTTTCAAAAAAAAAAAAAAAAAAAAAAAAAAAAAAAAAAAGGAAAAAAAAGAGGGAAGAAAAAAAAAGACTTGTTAAAAAAAAAAAAAAAAAAAAAAAGAAAAAATAAAGTGAAAAAAAGTAGGAAGTAAACACAGTACCACAGCCAAACCTATGACTACAAGCCTTCCCCTCCTCCCTTTCTCTGGAGAGGAAAGAATGCGTATTACAGCATTTTTGCCAGTTACAACAGATGTACAAAATCAAGAAACAGCAGCTCTGGTGACGAACCAGTTGTACTTTAAAAAAACAAAAAACAAAACCAGAAAACAAAACCAAACAAAGATTCTCCCATGCTCTAAAGAAAGAGACCAGTATGTCCTGTAGCTCTCTTTGCGTAATGGGATCTGATAAGCAGTCTCTCAGAAATAGCGGACTGCTCTTCTAAAGCAAATGGTTAAGCTTTGTCAGGATTTTTGAACAGAGTTCAGACAATCATCAATTATGCTCTCTAGATTTAAATGCATAAAGCTAGTTTTAGAAGCCATACTCTTCCTTATATAGTAATTTTGGATTGCCATTTTAGTGACGTTCAAAGATGACTTTGCTGAAGTGAAAAGATTCAGCAGATGATTTATTACTGGGGAAAAAAAAAAGATGACCAATGTTACCATGCTAATAATGATCAGAGCTGTGCAAAATCATAAAAGCCTTACTAGCGCAATCTGGAGCACTGGCCAGTTCTCCTGTTGCCCAACCCAACCCAGCATCTGCATATTTTTGCAGACAAAAAGAAGGAAAAAATATTTGATTCCGTACAGCCAGAGAACACAACGCCTGTATTATTCCAGTAGCAATGAGTCCACATGAAGGAGATACACTGTGTGAAAAATGAAGCTCTAAAATCAAAAGACTTGAAAGGAGCCGAGACACACAATAACGAACAATCTGATTTTGAGAGGCAACATTCATTGCAAGTTCTGCACTCTCACTGACCAGTATAAACTGTGTCAACATACAGAAGAAACTTAATACGGACAACAGCGAAGGAATAGGAAAACCACACATACAGCATAACTCCTAAAAATGTAAGTTCACCACTGTCCTCAACATTTCCTCAAAAGCACTTACCAACTACAGAAAAACCATGTTTCTGGCTTCCTGCCATGCCTAAAGCCCTACCACAAATCCAAATTCCAGCCATGCTTTGCATTCTGCTCGCACCACAGAATACCACAAAACACCAGTTGCCACAGCACAAAACACACCTTGTCATCTGAAGGCTTCCAAAAGCACAAATGACATTTACAGACGTAACTCATGTAAAGCTCAGTATGTAACTGCTATCTGTTCCTTCAGTAATCCTTCCTAAACTGTTCGCTGAGGAAACCTAACTAACGTCCAGTTAATCTCCTTCTATAATTCTTTTCGACCACGCTGCTTGAAGTAAATGCTATTGCTGACCATATAATGGAGGGGGAGGGAAAGGAAATGGGAATAATCTTGCAAAGGGCGAAGTTTTCAACTCAGAGACGACCGGGGTGAAAAATATCTTCTAGTATGGCTCTCCATGACATAACTTTTGCTCATCTCATCTTACCAATTTCACAACTTTCAGGAAATGCACTAGGGCAGCTGAGTATAACCCTACTGATTGTGCGAGAAAAAGAGCGATAAAGCCCTACTTCCATCAGCCAGCTTAGTTAGGAGACTAACTCCCTCGTGCTCCTAACTGTCCTCCAAACACACCAGAGGCTCAAGCTCAACGTGCTGCCTGCTCTTCCGTTACACGTTCAACCTGGTATGGGAGCAACAAATAAGGACAAGCAGCTTCACACGCATTTCCAAAATGAAGGCAGGCTTCAACATTTGTGTAGGAAAGGAGAAAAATCACCATAAACATAGATGTAGCTACATCCTTACTAAACCCCTTAAACATTCCCTCACGTCATTGGTGCTTAAACGGCAAATTTAGACTTTTCCTGTTGCAAATGAACGCTCTTCATTTTAGGCATTTGCTCCTCCTGGCAATTTAACCAAGCACCGACTTTGTGTTAGCATACTGAAAGCTATTTCTTGATTAAAACTGACTAACAGCTTCCTTCTGACATCTGTAATTCCCAACATCTATTCTCCATAGCTGCTTTCTGAGATGCACTGCTCCAGCTAAAAGAGAGCTGTAACAAAAAAAAACCCAGAGCTTGAAGTTCATCCACCGACAATGCATTACAGATCTGAAATACATTTCTGCCTCCCTCTTCCAACGACCATCTCCTGTCAATCACATAGTATCCTGGAATTTCTAAGCTATAATGTTCTTAACATAGAGGTATCTCTAAACGTCTAAGAGAGGCATCAAAAACACATTTTCCCTTTCGTTTACTCCATGGTGTAAGAACTGTAAAAATAGCGGAACCAAACATAAAACAAAAATA